ATACCACCAGATTAACACATATTACACTGTATCATGATCTATTTTTACAAAAATAAAACCAAAATGGAGAAACCATGTGTGGAAAAAAAACTAAGTATGCTTTATGATTAGCTCGTAGAACCACCTTTAGCAGCAATAACTTTAAGTAATTGTTTTCTCTATGACTCAGTTTCTCACACTGTTGTGCAAGAAATTTGGCCCATTCCTTTTTACAACATTGCTTCAGTTCATTGAATTTTGCTGGCAAAAAGTTCCCACCACAGCATTTCATACCAGTTGAGCTCTGGACTTTGACTCAGACAGTTGACCTCACATTAAACTCTAGAATTAGGGATGCACCGAAATGACAATTCTGGGCCAAAACCAAAAGTTCAGGATGCCCCTTTACCCCCAAAAGATTTAAAAAAGTTTTTTCCTATAATTTAGACTTTTTAATGCATTTAATTAATCCAATATGAAAAACTTCCCTTACCTTATCCTTTCTCTTTTAGTGGTCCCACCCCCCCCCGCTTAATGTTCCTCTCCCCTCCCTCTTTTTAGTGTTCTTTCCACCTCCTCCCCTGTACCCATAGTGCTCTTTACCCCCCTCCCCAGTCCCATAGTGTTCTCTAAATGAGCCTGAATTTGGTTCTGATATTAAATAGTGTAGAGTAGCATTTCAAATGGCCAGTATAGCACCTAAAGGTTGAGGCATGCACTAGATTGGATGAGTAGGGCAGATGGGTAAAGATACATCACTGCCAGGCTAAGGAAAATGGTGCTGGTTATAATAAAAAAACAAAAATACAAAAGACAACCCTAGATTTTAATAGGATTACTTTTCTGTGTTATGATTTTTTTCCCCCTCTGATGTCAGTTGTGTGGGCATACATTTTACTTGGATACCTATGGTGAGCACTGCATTAAATCTCAAAGAAAACCAACCATTCTTTAACATATACATACAATATACACTCGGGAGGAACGATGATTCATGGCTGATTAGCTTCATATATAGACAGTAATTCCAACAAGTGGGCAGGTGGTAATAATGGAAATGCCTAAATGTAAAAACAAGTCTTTTATCTTCTATTAGCTACCGTATTTAATTGATTATATCCAATCACCCAGAATACTATTGCTCACAAAAAAAAAGTTGGCAACAAGTCAAATATATATATTTTATATACATAATTGCAGCCAAATTATACGGTGTATTGTTACAAGCTAGAACGAATTAAAATCTGGATAATAGGTTGAGTAGATTAAGGGATGGGTCTCTTGCTTTACATTAAAGCTTCAACACACAATGGCAACGCGGTTCCAGACAGTGTGCACATCCACTCATAAAAAAATGAAATTAGAAAAAAAAAAAAAAAAAAAAAAAAAAAAAAAAAAAAAAAAAAAAAAAAAGGTAAAAGAAAAACCTTTGAGCACAGATTAATTCCTGTTAAGGGATCAAAGGAGAATTGGTAGTACGCAACTAATTAGAAACTATATAAAACATGATTTGAAGGGTCAGAAGCATTAAACAGATGCATGTCACTGTACTGTATGAAACAGGGTTAAGTAAGCATTGAAGCAGAACATAACATTTATAGGAGGGATACATGACCATAGACTGCTTTACTACTGCAATAGGCAATCTTATTGAATCAATTAGATTGTCTGGAGTCCCTTGGCACCATCTCACTATCATGTTAAACCATTGTAGATCTGTTTAAAACTGAATTAGTGGCCCCAATCCATCTCTACTGCTTGGGTTGAATTTTGTAGACTAATCCTAGCAGTGATTTACTGAGAACATTAACCGACTGTTCTAGGCTTGTGATTGCCACCTATTGCTGGTATGAGCCAATATGGCTAATACAGAGTAATTCCTAAGCCATATGTTCAATATTGGCTGATCTAGGACCATCATTAAGTGTTAAATCATTTGAAACACAGTTTAACACTAAACCCTGGCACATGTCAACTCCTATAGATAGTAAGCTCATTCAAACCATGCACTCGTCACCCTATTGTTCCTGTCACAGTTTGTAATAGTGTCTCATTTGTTGTTAAAGTTCCCCCTTTATAATATTGTAAAGTGCTGCAGAATAAGTTGGCACTAAATAAATGCCAATAATAAGTGGTTATGTTGCCTATAGTGTACTTTTAAGGCGGGAAATAATTTCAAAAGTGTTCTGTGACAATCAAACAATATTTAAGACTGGTACATAAATAGAATTATAAGTCCAATGCAGAAAAACTTGATTGTCTCAAAATAGCCCCAAATGTGCTGGAGACATATCTTTGACACGCATTATGTAAAATCTATATAGCAAAGCAATCTGCCCTCAAAAGGAAAAGTCATGTTTTATAATTTAAAACAAAAGATTACATATATTATAGCACACCAAGTAGAAAGTGTCCACTATCAAAAGAGGATAACTGAGCAAACCAGGAAGTAACATTACATGTTGTCTGCTTGAAAGCCAAGATGCTGTAACCAGCTTGAATTTATTAAAGTGTAAATTTCTATTGAAATCTGCACTTTTTTTGCAAAAAAAGGGATACTTGACTAGTAAAGTGGTCAGCCATAAATTTTGTGAATTACAGATTCAGATAGGTGTAACTATAATATAAACAGTGTTGGCAAAATTATTTTTATTTAATTTTTTTAAAGGCCTTGGCAGTAAACACCTACGCTCAGAATGGATTTGCTGTTGGGGGGAGGGGTGGAGATGGATATGCATTTTTTTTATTTTTTTTAAACTATATACAGTTCCTTTAAGACCCTTTATATTGCCAAAGACAGACATACAAGAAAAGAGCAGCATCAAAGATTTGTAATAGTTTACTGTGTAACATCTGAACCATGGCAAGTCTGTATAATACATAGGATTAAACTGTATACAATCCCAGACAGTCACAACAAGTAATACACTAAATAAGGCCTTTATATGTAACCACAGTGTATCTTATCCATTCACAAATTAAACTACATGTCTTTAAATTTTAGTTGCATTCATCACAGATATTTTATTAAAGGAAAGGCAGCTTACCAAAAGAAAAAAAAATGCTTTAAAAAAGGTACTATAATTATACAAAAAGTTTTAAACATTCCCATTTATTTTTGCCTATAATAACTGATGTGAAAAAAATTGCTAATAAAAAAAGTTCACCATTATAAAGGTCTAGAACAATGGCGTCAGGAACCTATACAGCCAGTGAGATTTTTGACACTTTGTAATCTGTAAATGCCCTACCAAAAAATACAAAAATTAAATAAAAGTATAGTCAAAACAAAACAAAACCCACATTAAAATAAAAATAAAAAAAACTAAACTGCCAGACATTAGAGTGGACTGATCAGACACCATGTGTAATAGAAAATGTTGTTGTCTCCCATCCAAGCACTAAAAGGCAGCAGTTTTTGTAAGGTGTGTGGTTTCAGTGCAAGTTACCTCTGAAACAGACCTGCTACAGTTAATAAACTTGCTATTCTGCTAAAAATTGGCAACTTCTGTAAAGTATCTTTCTAAGAGGTGAAGAGACACAGACTTCTTTGTAGAGTACAGACAAGAGGGTTTATCTCGAAGTAAGTTGATCTTATTTTACAATAAACGCAAATTTACATGGTTTCATTCTCCATCACCCTTTTGTGGGTCCCCTGGCCACCTGATCTCAGAGAGTTGTAGACCAAACCATGGTACACACTCCAAAAAGGTGCAGCTCTAAATTCAGCACATTGCCGTTCAGCAACAGAAATGACAATGCATAGGCAATCTCCATTTCTCTTTAAATGTGGCACTTTGTGTGCCAGCAATGTGCCATTATAGCACCCAACCCATATTATAGGTTTTAATTACCAGTTTTATGAATTTTTTCTTTTTCCAAGTCTATTCAATTGTTATATTATAAAAAAAAAAACTAACAAAAAAAACCAAAAAACGGGTAAACCAGATGTTTAGCAACTAGCAAGGCTCTGTGACTAACAGCTACCAGGAGTGGTCCACATGATTGCAAGCTGTGTAGGTGAACAAACTAAAAAAAAAAAAAAAAAAGTCAAGTCTCAATTCAGAAACAAAATATTTTCATATAAGTCAAAAGTGCAGTCCTAAATGCATCCTCTTGTCTACTCAAGTAAATCTCAGGTATGTACAATGTCTAATGAATGCCTTGAAAGCAGGGGTGGCTCTCTTGCTGCTGGAGAACAGATTCCTCCCTTGATGCTTTGCCAGCCATAACTACATGTTGGCCAACCCGGCTTTGTGTTTGTAGCGTGATTTAAAAGCAAGGTTGTGCGCATCTTAGCCAGTACAGTCCATTAAGACATTTGTACAGGATTCATAGGAAGAAAATCGCAGCATTCATTTCAATAGGGAACATGCCAGCAATAAACGGTTTATCTTTGAAAAAAGTAATTAATTTTCTTCCATAGCAATCAGCAACAGTTTGTGCTGTTTAAATTTCAGTTCTAAAAAGTGAACCTTACAAAAGAAAAAAAAGAAGAGTTAGCCCCCCGCCCCTCAAAAAAAATAAAAAATAAATTAAAAAAAGTAAACAAGTCATCTTCAACAATACAATCTAATTTCCAATTCCTTTCAAAGTTGTATGCGGTAATGCTGATAGAATGAACTGCTGCATTCAAAACACAGTGAAGAAGAAACATTTTTAAATTCACACGGATTAAGTAATCTATATATATGCCCGACTGCACCTTAGTGTAATTCCAGATAGCAATACTGGTATTAAAACAAAATACTAAACAAAAAAAACCTTCATTACTGATGTTAACAAATCATTACCTGTACATCTGTTAAGGCAACCAACATGATTTGCAAACAGACCTTCAGGTTTATGAACATTTCTATGGCTCACAGTCCAGCAAAAGAAGAAAATTAAACATGGTCGGCTAACTTCTTTTGTGCGGCCAGAGAGTTACTGCAAACCTTCAATGCCCTAAAAGGCATTTATAAAGGAAAAAAAAATAAAAAAATAAAATAAATTTTTTTTTTTTTTCTAACAAAATGTAGTTACAAATTTACAAGCTCTTGCGTCACAAATTGTTTTAACCGCTCAAGGTACTGTCCATAGAGTTCCACGTCGTTGTGACCGGCTCCTTCAACCCATAGTGGCTCCACCGGCCTCTGGCAGCGTTCAAACAGCGCCAGGCCATGTGAAAAGTCAATCACCTCATCTTCTGTGCCATGGATAATCAAGACTGGGGATGTTATCTTGGAGATTTTGTCAATGCTGTAAAATAAAGCAGACAATTAAACTTAAAAACTACATGTGAATTCACGTTTTTGCAAAAACACAACACAAACCACTTAGTATTTGTAAAACAAGTAACAATACGACAGTTCCCTAGACTGAAGAGAGACACAGGTCAATCAAGTTCAGACTTACATCTGTTTTTTGCTGTTGATCCAAAAGAATGCCAAAAAAAGTTTGAAAAACTTCAAATTTTGCAACAAACTAGGAAAAAAATCCTTACTGACCCCAGAGTGGCAGTCAAATTCATCCTTTGATCAAGAAACTATTATCCTACAGTTGAAAAATTATATCCTTGAATATTATGTTTTTGAAAGTATGCAGACTCTGATAAAACCACTTCTTCGGGCAGCGAATACCACATCCTTATTCTTATGGAAATATATGCTTATTTACCAAAGTCAAAACACCTATCAAAAGCAATCAGAATGCTATAAAATAATATTCAATAAAAAAGGGCAGTATATGCAACATAAGAAGTTCAATGTAATGGTTATGTTGTCAATGTATCACACTTTTACGTCGATCTACTAGTTTGGCAAAAATAATTAATTACTCTTCATGGTATCTGATGACTGCCCTCTAAGCAGCTTTGATAATACAGATTTAACACTTCACACTATAAATATCACTTCTGTCCAGCCTAGATGATATGAATAGTTTAAGAGTATTTGGACAACTTGGTTGTAGTGGTTGTTTTAACCCCTTAAAACCGGAGGACGTACAATTACGCCCTCTAATAGGCGGCTCGTAATTGTACGCCCTCCGGTTTTTGTTAACTTACCCGGTCGCCGGCGGTCCCACGCCGGCGATCGCGGTGGGGGGGACTCCCAGGGAGCCCCCCGCGGCACATCCGTCCTCGTTGAAGCCCCCCAGCCATGTGAGAGTGGGGTCCTAGCGAGGACCCCACAATCACATGGCCGGGGATAGCTGGCTTCTGTATTGCCGGCAGGGGGGCTGCCTGTAATGACAGGTGGTCCCCCTGCTGGCTGAAAATAAAATAAAAATAAGTTAATGGTGTAAAAAAAAAATAATTATATATACTTAGATCATATGTATATATTATATATATATGATCTAAGTATATATATACACATATACATACACACACATACACCATCTAGGTGTATTTTACTATTAATATATATATAATTCTATATATATATTAATATCAAATTACACGTAGACTGATACTGATTAAATATATATATAATTATGGTTATATATATATTTATATATAATATAAAAAAAATAAAAATGTAAATACGTTAAAAAAATAAAATTAAAAAAATAATTAAAAAATATATAGATGTGTGTTATTTCGTTCTAACTGTTTTGTGAAATTAATATATATATATATCAAAATACACGTAGAACGAAATAATATATATATCTATATACATAAATATATACGTATATATCACTATATATATATACCTATATATAAATAAAAATATTTTTAAAAAATATAGATATATACATATATATACACATATATATATATATATATATATACACACACATATATTAATTCTACATATATATTTATGTAATATTTTTACATAATTAGGTATCTTAATTAATTACAATTAGCGGGACCTGCCTGACAACCCATGCCGAAAGTAAAGGGAATTTAATTTGCTAGCACTATATTTAACCCTATAACTTTCCAAGACACCATAAAACCTGTACATGGGGGGTACTGTTCTACTCGGGAGACTTCGCTGAACACAAATATTAGTGTTTCAAAACAGTAAAATGTATTACAACGATGATATCGCCAGTAAAAGTGACGTTTTTTGCATTTTTCACGCACAAACAGCATTACACGGACAATATTATTAAGATACTTTTTACTGTTTTGAAACACAAATATTTGTGTTCAGCAAGTCTCCCGAGTACAACAGTACCCCTCATGTACAGGTTTTATAGTGTTTTCAAAAGTTACAGCGTCAAATATAAGGCTTGCGTTTCATTTTTTTCACATTAAAATTCGCCAGATTGGTTACGCTGCCTTTGAGACCCTATGGTAGCCCAAGAATGAAAATTACCCCTATGATGGCATACCATTTGCAATAGTAGACAACCCAAGGTATTGCAAACAGGGTATGTCCAGTCTTTTTTAGTAGCCACTTAGTCACAAACACTGGCCAAAATTGGCGTTTTTTGCATTTTTCACACACAAACAAATACTAACGCTAACTTTGGCCAGTGTTTGTGACCAAATGGCTACTAAAAAAGACTGGACATACCCCATTTGCAATACCTTGGGTTGTCTACTATTGCAAATGGTATGCCATTATGGGTGTAAATTTCATTCCCGGGCTACTATACAGTCTCAAAGGCAACGTAACCAATCTGGCGAATTTCAATTTCAAATGTAACGTGCTATATTTGACCCTGTAACTTCCCAAAACGCCATAAAACCTGTACATAGGGGGTACTGTCTTACACGTGAGACTTTACTAAATACAAATATGTGTATTTTATTGCAGTAAAATCAAACAGTATTATGACACTGACCTTTAAAATGCAATTTAGAACTAAAAAAATCAAAAAAATCGTATTTTCTCCCATTTTTTTCATATTAAATTATGTTTCATAGCTAAATATTTGATATTAAATGAAAGCCCTGTTTCCCCTGAATAAAATGATATATAATAAGGGTGGGTGCATTTACTATGAAAGAGGTGTATTACGGTTGGACAGACATGTAGCGCAAATGCCAGGTTTTGTTTACATTTTGTTTTGTTCACAATGTGTACATTTGGCTCCGTCCTTAAGGGGTTAATTAAAGCCCCAAACCAAACAGAAAATAACAAAAACAAACAAACACCACCCTCCCCCCAGAATACAGATTTATATTTTATAAGGCTACTTAAAACAACCTCTTCGCAAACATATATGGGGATTCAGTTCCACAATATTGCCATATTGTGCTAAGCCCACCACTATGCCACAGTACCCCAATATTGGTGGGTCCTACACTAATTAAAACCTGGAAGATAAATTAAAAGAACACTAAAGGGTCAGGAACAGAAACATGTATTCCTGACCCTATAGTGTAAAAAAACCCACCATCTAACCCCCTTCCCTCCCTATCCCCTAAATATAGTAAAATCTTACCTTTGTTACAGTCTGCAACTGCCTCTGCCCCTGACCTACCTCCTAGGCTGACATCAGAAGTGATCTTCTCAGCCAACCACATTGCTTTCCCATAGGAAAGCATTGAATTAGCAGTGATTATCAAAAAGGCAGAGCCAGCACAAGCCAAACACAGCCCTGGCCAATCAGCATCTCCTCGGAGATACATTGTTTCAATGCATCTCTATGAGGAAAGGTTAGTGTCTCCATGCAGAGGGTGGAGACACTGAATGTCAGTGCTGCACATTGTACATTAAATATACACACTATTATCTCTATTTTAAAAAAACTAGTGTGAAAAATAAAATGCATACATCTATCTGCTCTAGATCAAATAATTGATAATAATGGTTTAGTTTTGACACTGGATTTTTTTTTTTTTTTTTTAATTGTGTTTCTCACATAATATTAGAGGCATACCAGACCATCTCTGCTGAGGAACTACCACACTTTCTAAGGCACCTTATAGAATCTTACTCCCAAGTCACCCTAGGAAAGTTTACTTTTGATGGAGCATATAGTATGCCTTCATAATCCAGGGCACCACAAAATAAATCCATATTAACAAATAAAAGGTCTGACCATCTGAGACTGGTTCTGTTCCTTAGGGGTTTCCATCACAGCTGAGCCTATCTGTAGATTTGAAAATTGCTATATTATATACAATTTTCACTTGTTGCCATTATTAGCACAAGCACTTATTCTGTTGCATCTTGGCTCCTGGCTATTATCATTTTGGTACTCTTGAGATGTATAAAAATAAAAATAAAAAAATGGATAGAACTTATGGCATTTGTATCTCCATATGAATATCATGTAATGCTTATTTTATGTGGTTGGCAGGGGGGGGGGGAGGGGGAGTTATGTTGGATAATACCCAATAAGACATTTCATAATAACTAGGCGTTAAGACTCTATTTAAATCACAATTTGTAAACGTAAACTATAGTTAACAAAACCACGTTATCTTAATGAAGCAGTTTGTGTATGGATTACTGCTCAATTATCTGCCATTTAGGAGTAAAATGGACACTACAGTCACCAAAGCAACTACAGCTTAATGTAGTTATTCTGGTGAGTATAACCATTATGTGCAGGCCACTGGAAATGCTTCCTGGCTCAGTGCTGCACAGTAAGCAGCTCTGCCATTTAGCATCCCCACGCATTGCATGGGGATGCTGAATTTCCCTCATAGAAATGCATTGATTCAATGCATCTCTATGAGGAGGTGCTGATGGACCAAAATGGTATTTGGCCTTGCCCCTTGCCAATCCAATGCTTTCCCTGGGGGAAAGCATTGGATTGGGTAAAAATCCGCAATTCTAATGAGGTCACCAAGGGGACAGGGCCCGTGCCGGCAGACCCGCACGGCACTGGAAATAAGGTGAGTTTTTAATGCTTTTCTAAGCAGGGTAAGGGGTAAGCCACCTTAATGGTGGGTTTAGCACTATAGGATCAGGAATACAGGTCTGTGTTCCTGACCCTATAGAGTGCCTTTAAATCACTTGTTTCAGTTTATGCAGCCCTAACCACACCTCCCCTGGCTACTGACAGTCTGCATGAAAACAAAATGGTTTCACTTTCAAATCAGATGTAATTACTTTAAACGTTTGTATCTAATGCTCTGTAAATCGAAATTTAATTTAAAAATACTCATCTCCTGATCTGTTAATAGTTAGCTAGACCTTGCAGGAGCCTCCTGTATGTAATTAAACAGAATTTTCAATAAAGCAAGTATAAACATTAGATGCCTCTTTACAGGAAGTGCTTAGGAAGGTTGTGTAAGTCACATGCTAGACTATGCGAGTTAACTCCTAAATAGCAGAGAATTGAGTAGTGAGACTGCAGGGGCATCGATACACAAAACGGATTTATAAAGCTATGTTTTAGTGACTACAGTGTCCCTTTAAATACTGGTACTTGCTGATTGATATTTAAATATTTGTAACAAGGTGAATATTTAGTATTTAGATGGATAATTTTCATATTTTAATAGTTCTAGCAGAACTGATTTGTTACCTACCATTAGAAATATTTAGATTGATAAAATCATTGGCAAGGTATACTACCTCCAGTTTAATAGGTTAATCACCCATATTTGGAGAACAGCTTAGCGTTTACAGAATAACAGCAGGATTGCGGTATTTTTCTAAACTTTGTATGTTTATTTTAAAACATGCATGTTATTTCTGAAGACAAAATTCAATTAACTTGGAATAATTTAATTAAATTACCAAAAATATATTTATTGCATGACCATGTAGTCTCATGCTACATAACTAATCCCTATTTGAAGTTGAAAAACACTTGAAATATACTGTATCCCAAGTACAAAACCATTAAAAATAAAAAAATAAAAAATAAAATTATTTTTAACCTCCCAGATTTCTATGCTGGTTCCAATACCAGCATTTAATTGTACGCGGTGTGCCACACAAAGGATAAATCAGATTTGAAGGACATTGCATTCACCAAGTTACAAGAAGACATCTGATATTAAATGGTATCTCTATACAGCATAATTCAGCATTTTACTGTGCATGCACACTAGCCTCCCAATGCGGTTCTATAGAAAAGCATTAGATTGGCTGAGATCATTGATCTCTATGATATCAGCCAGTAAGTGGTAGCGCGGTGGGGTGAAGACACCATAACTAGTTAGGTACAAGCTATACCGTTTGGAATAATGCTTGCTTTTCGAACACTATAGTGTTCCTTTAAACTGTTAGCAAAGCATTATTTTAAAGTGTTTGAAACAAATCCAGAGATTATTAACCCAAGCATGGAATATGCACATGTTCAGGTGCTTGAAGTGTACTTTAAATATACATTCAATATAACAAAACCTTTTAATGTAACAATATAACTGCATCAAATATAACTTACTTGGGAAATGCATCAAAACAGTAGGTTTTTTTGGTGTCAGGGAAAGCCACTCTCATTCCTGAGGTTAGAGGAGAGTGAAGAATAACAGCAGCACTTTCATATCGAGCAGCAAGATCAACAGATGGGACGGTCCCTATGCTCTGGCCATATATGATAACATGCTCAGGACGTACTCCATACCTGGAGAGAGGGGGAAACCATGAGAAAAATACAGAAACCAACAACAGCTTTAATAAAAGGGAAGCAGACAGACCAATAATAGGTGATACAGAAAAATGAATGTACATACAAAAGTTCGGCAATGCATATAACAAACATGTTACTCTTCCACCACAGCTGTATAGCCAATAGAGCAATCTTATCAATTCTAGAAGATGTCCGATCCACAGCTCCTCTCAATGGAAAAGGAATCAAACAAAATAATACAGAAAAATCATGCATGTTATTCAATTAACTAAGAAGTTTGGCATATTGACTAGGGAATTGCTAATTTTAGGCCAAAATAGTCAAGCTAGAAAACTAGCAGATCTGGGGGATATTTTCCAATATTTTGCTATTTTCGCCTAATATTTGCAATTACCTTGTACATTCTCAATTTTTCAGTTTACCAACAGCATTATTCAATAAAGTGAGAACTGCTGGAAATTCAAAAGAGAATTTGAAATGAAATTAAAGGCCAAAATAGACAAACTACAAATGGACTTAGAGAATTTGTTTCAGCTACTTTGGCCTATTGTTTGAAATACACTTTGAATTTGCAGCAATTTTAATTTTAGTCAATAACCCTGTAAATAATCCCAATATGCATATGTCAATCCCAGTTTACAAAAGCCCCATTTTTATAACATATCTCATGGGTTTGAGTGCAACAAGTTTACCATTTGTTTTTCTTAGACTGCAATAAAAAAAGTTGGAGAAATAGATGTATCCTACGTAACAGAATGCAGACAAGGAACATAGATCCTAAACAAACTGCTTGCAAGGATTCTAGATCTTCATGCAACATAAAATAATTCACCTTTTTTTTTTATTTAAAAGCAACAGAACATTCTTTAGATAGATCATATGTAAAAAGAATTGTATCCTGCACTATTATATATGCGACAGTAAGAGGTCTAAAACCTTTAAATTTTTATACAAACTACACAATCTGTTTAAAAGGACCACTTCATTGAAATGAAGTAATGTGTGCAGTGGTCCTTTTAACTTTGTAAAGTAAAACATAGCTGTTCAGTAGATAGAGCAATGCTTACACAAGAGCTTGACAAATCCCAGGTGCCAGGTCACCATGGCGACTAAGAAATTTGTCCTGGAGCCTGGGATTGGTCAGCCTGTTCTCCGGTCTCTGTGTGCCGGAAGGAAGTGTGGTGCTGCCCAGTCCCACTAAGCCACCTTTTTGTGCCCAAAAGGTAGGAAACAGGAATGTGGCTAAAAATATATATATTTTTTTACTTCTGTATGTATGTATGTATGTAGAAATGTGTGTGTGTGTGTGTGTGTGTGTGTGTGTATCAAATAATTAAATAATTCTTTGAGAGTGTGCGTGTCTTTCTTTTAGTCAATCCAGGTGTCTGTCAGCGAAACTGTAGGTTTAGGTCACCTGCCCCCCCCCCGCCGACAGCAAGGTAATGTGTTTTTACTCAATTTTAATGGAGGCACACTGTGTCCCTGTACCCAACAAGGTCCACCTGGGCGTCACCTTTGTTGGGAAACTTGCATAAAAGGCCAGTGTGCCTCCATTAAAAGAGTTAAAAACACATTTCCATGCTATCGGCGGGGGCAGGTGACCTAAACATACACTTTTACTGACAGACATGTGGACTGACTGAAAGATGCACAAACACAGTGTACAAGCCAATAAAAACAAGGTGACAATGAATGACACTCCCACATACAGTACACAATCCCTCCCCTCTGCCTGTGATATAATTAAGGCAGATAATGCATTAACTTAATTATCCTCAGGCAGAAAAAACACACCTGTTTATAAAGTACCATAAGTACCCCAAAACGCAACAAATCCCCATAAATGTTACATCCCCGGATAGCCCTGATCTGGGTGAACAACATATCCAAAAATCGCGGCTAAATGCCGCTGGAGGACGGACCAGGAACCACAAGGTTTTCATAGTTCCAGGGCATTCACGGCTAAGTCCCCCTGAAGGCTATTCGTGGTTTTGGTCCATTCGAACAAGATGGCCGCCACCATGTGTTCGAATGTCGAATGGCGGCCTGTTCGGGAGTTCGAAGAACCATTGGCTAAAGTCCCATTAGCCAAAAATAGGGTCTCTCAACCACAATAAATTAAAGGTGCCATAGTCATAGGGTAAAAGGCTGGCAAGTAGTCCCCTCCAAACCCCAGTGGTTAAGTGGCTTTTGTCACAATCTATGTGGAATGTTCTGCACCTCCATGCAGAGCGTGGAGATGCTGAATGCACTGAGATAGGAGACACTTTAGTGGTCGTTTGAGTGACTGCCACTAGAGGTATTACTAGGTAGCAGTGTAAACGCTGTAGCTATGCAGATGGTAGATTGACTGGTGTTGGTGGGGAGGTACTTTATTTCTAATTTGAAATACCACAATAAATAAATCTATACATTTTCTAGCACAACATAGCAATGAAATTGTATACTCTTTAAAAATGCCCATAAGATGTGTGTACCGTGACAGGTACACTTTAAATGTGCTACTCATTAAGCAACAGCAGGTGCTCTGTAAAAGTGCTGGATGTAAATAAACAGTACATTCATTTTTCACATCATTTGTATTCTTCCGTGTATTATAGAATATTTTAGAAGTATTACATTTAGTGTTGCCATTATATTTAGGAATAAAATTTTGGAATATATTTATGTAAGCCTTGACTGAACAACCCAGCTGGTTCCCTTTTCCAGTATTCTGCCCATTTTCATCCCTTTTCCACTGCTATTCTTAAACACACTTTCCCACTTCTCTCCCTATATCACATGCTCCTACTTCATACTGCCACAAAAGGTAGCTGCTTCATTAGCATCAAGTGGGACAGTGGCTGTTTTGGCATTGTTAGACAGATTCTTCTATTGGGTGTGTCTGCCTGTATCCCATCACAGTGCTGGCAAGGTGTGAGGTCACAGTACTGGCAAGGTGTTAAGAGAGCCTTAAAGACATATCTGCTACATGAGCCTACAGAGCACACCCACTCCCGTTATAGGTAAATTACTCCATTTAAGATGAAGGGTTTCATTTGTCAAGCAAGTTAACGTTTTATATGGTGACTAAATACACTGCTTAAAAAAATAAAGGGAACACAAAAATAACACATCCTAGATCTGAATGAATTAAATATTCTTCTAAAATACTTTGTCCTGTGGGGCGTGGCCGAGCCGTCAATGAGACTGGACGTGTTTCGGTAGAGCTCCGCCGCAACTGTGCCTAAAGCATTCAAAAGCGACCTCAAAAATCGATACATCACCCCTCACGGGAACCCCCGACGTGGAGAAGAGACCGCCTAAGAAGCAAGGGAAAAAAACGGCCGAAATTGGGACCTCCAGCTCCGTCCTAGACCATTTCCCCATGCACAAACAAGGCCGTGCAGGAAGTCAAGATGGCGACGTGAACTCCCCACAAATATCACCGAGGGCGGCCAGGGAAGCCCCAGTCAACGACCAAGACACCGTTTTGGCCAAACTCGCTGAAGTCAGGGCCTTCTTGGCAGGAGAAATAGCCAACTCAACGGCAATTCTCCAAGCAGAGATAGGGGCCCTGGGAAAACGCACGGCCATCTTGGAAGAGCGCATGGAAACCACTACGCTAGCCCACAACTCGCTTATTGACCGAGTAAATCGTATGACATCACATCTGGTGGAAACCGACCTAACATTGGAAGATATGGCCAACCGGTCACGGAGAAATAACCTCCGCATTCGGGGTCTCCCCGAGGAGAAAGACGAAGATTTGAAGGGGATACTACTCTCCGCTCTAAAGCCTCTCCTGCCCGCCTTATCGGAGGAACAGTGGCACATGGAAAGGGCACATAGAGCCCTGAGACCTCAAAAGATCGACACCAACACCCCGCGGGACGTAATCGTCCGCTTCCTATACTATAGCACGAAGGAAGCGCTGATGGGGAAAAGCCGGGATGCACCGTTACGGTACGCAGGGGCCACATTATCCTTATACCAGGATCTGGCACCGTCGACACTTCAACGACGACGGGAGTGGAGGCCTATCACAGCAGCCCTACGAGACGCAGGCCTGAAATATGCCTGGGGATTCCCCTTCAAGCTTATGGTGTTCCGGGGAGACCGCTCACATATCCTGATGCCGGGAGGGGATCCCCAACGATTCTTTAGGAATCTCGGTCTACAACCACCCCCCCGACTTCCAGATATCTCTCTGTATCCTACCGAGCTTCAACAACTACAGACAGAGTGGCAAGAAGTCGGAGCTAGAGGCCATCGCTGAAGCACTGTGGGTATCGTATAATACATACATCACACAACACCATCCACCGCCTTATACCCCACCTCATATTCCACGGAGACTGTTCAGTTTAAACTAGTTCTCCCCTCGCTGTGATGAGGGCCGACACTAGCCCCCTTTTTCGTACTCTGACTGGAACTCTAAGGGGATTTACATCGAAACCTGCCCTGGCTAGTCCCCCTTTTCAGCCAATCCTCCATTCTTGTTTTAACTGTAGGTTCAATATTATGTTACTTTATGTTACATGCCAGTGTCCTACTTTAAATTGTCGAGGAGGCTAATACGGGAGTGGGTCTGGCCCCCTCGCGACTTGCTTTGGGAGGGCTGTGGGGGGTACCGCAATAGGCTTCAAGCAGCCCTTTACAGGACTCAACCTGACAGCTGATCCCACAGGCTGTGGGGGCCCCCGGGACTTTTACCAAGGTGGAGGTTTCATTGACACCCAGGCCTGGTGGGAACCGGATCCGCCTAATTTTTTGGCGTGTAGGCCTGCATCAGACTACATCATCTCATCATTATTTCTCTAAACCACAGTAATATTGCATGTCCCTTGATATTCTGAACCCTGTTACTATTCACGATCCTCTACCTACTGTCCGGGGGGGAAAGGGAAAAAGAAGGAAAAAAAAAAAAGGGGAGGGAGGGGGGAAAGGAGTGTTGTTGATGTTTTATACATATGTAATGTTATGATGGGGTACATTAGATAGATAGAGGTGAAAATCGTTTTGGTTACCTATACTTTACCCAAGTTATAACCACCCCAGACTCTTACCCATGTCGGGTACCATTCTTTAGTCCTATCTAAAACCCTACCGCTGTAATGATCTCATCGATCTCCCCCCCCCTCCCCGTCCCGTGGTTTTCCTCGGAGATCCTTCTCCCGCGACACCATGCTCCCTCTATACAGTGGCAGGCTCCCAACATCTATCACCCCTGATACTACATATATATAGCAGAGAAAGAGGGGGGACCATACTCT